AGCAGTGGCTGCTGGCCCCGCCCACCTCAGCTTTCCAACATGGCAGAACTATGCTTACTGCCAGCTTCGGAGGAACCATGCTCACCACTGACTCTGGGAAGAAGTGGGTCTATGCCTCTATCAAAGCAGCGTGTAGCTCAGAAACCTCTTTTTTTTTTTTCAGCAGCAAAACCTATATTCACCACGCATCATGTTGTGCAGCTTACAGAAACCTCTGTGTAACTCGGCGGGAATGTACCATGCTGTAGGTCAAGCCCACATGCTGTGAACCCACCATAGAGTAGCTCAAGCCCCCATGTTGCTGTGTCTCACCACCTGCATGGAACCTGTGTTTGGCTGCATTTAGAATTGTTTATTAAGTATTCACAGGTTTTGGGTGGAAACTTGAGCCATTGGGTGCCATTTGTAGCTGGAGTTATCTCCAGTCCCACCCGGGCTCACAGCCACTCAGACCCAAATAAACACATAGACACTTTATATTACTTATAAACTGTATGACCATGGCAGGCTTCTTGATAGCTAGATCTTACATCTTAAATTAACCCATTTCTATTAATCTATAAGTTGCCATGTGGCTTGTGGCTTACTGGTATCTGTACATCTTGCTTCTCATGACAGCAACTGGCAGCATCTCCTGACTCAGCCTTCCACCCCTGAGAATTCTCCTCTCTCTTTATCCCACCTATACTATACTTCCTGCCTGTCTACTGGCCAATCAGTTTTTTATTTATAAATCAATCAGAGCAACACATTCACAGTATCTCCAGAACTGGTATTCTTCTCCTTCTTCTACCCCTATTATTCTTAGGTTTGGTCTTTTCATGGTGTCCCAGATTTCCTGGGTGTTTTGTGTTATGACTCTGTTGGCTTTAATGTTTTCTTTGACCAATGAATCTATTTCCTCTATCATATCCTCCATGCCAAAGATTCTCTCTCCCATCTCTTGCATTCTGTTGGTTATGCTTGCATCTGTAGTTCCTGTTTGTTTACTCAGGTTTATCATTTCCAGCATTCCCTCTGTTTGTGTCTTCTTTATTGCCTCTATTTTAATTTTCAAGTCTTCAACTATTTCCTTCACCTGTTTGATTGCTTTTTCTTGGTTTTCTTGACTTTCTTGAAGGGATTTATTGATTTCTTCCAATTTTTTGTTTGTCTTTTCCTCAATTTCTTTAAGGAATTAATTTCCTCTTTAAAGATTTCTATCATCTTCATAAAGTCATTTTAAGGTCGTTTTCTTCTGCTACTCCTACATTGGGATTTTCAGGTCTTGCTGTAGTAGAACTACTAGGTTCTGGTGGTGCTGTATTGCTCTTTATGATGTTGAATATATTCATCCACTGGCATCTACCTATCTCTCCAATCAGTGCAAATGGTGTCTGTGTCTCAGAGAGCACCTCTTGGTCCAATTGGCACTAGTAGTGTTTGTGTGTCAGGGAGCTGCTGGGGTCTCTTGGTCCAATTGGAGCTGGTGGAGTCTACATTCAGGGAGAAGCTGAGGTCTCAAGAGATGGGTGGGTTTGAGGGATGGAGTGGGGGCTTGTAGATTACATGATCTGATTGGAATGGGGGTGGTCAGGTCTACCTGCAGGAGTCTTGCCTGTTGGCCTGAAACTGGGGTTGAAATGGGTGAGGGTATGGGGGCACAGGTTGTACCCCTGAACCTAGGGCCTAGAGGCTGGGATGACTGGCTAGGAGAACAGTGACTCACCTCTTGGTCCAATCAGAGGTGGTGGAGTCTGTGTCTCAGGGATCAGCTATAGTCTTGGGGAATGGGTGGGTTTGGGGGATGAAGTGGGGCTTGTAGATTACAGGGTTCAATGGAGGTATGGGGGTCAGGCCTGACTTCAGGAGTCTTGCATGCAGGCCTGCACCTGGGGCTACAATGGGTGGGGGTATGAGGGCACAGGTTGTGCCCTTGGGCCTAAGGCCTAGAGGCTGGGGTGACTAGCTGGCAGAACAGTAACTCACCTACAGAATGGGAAAGTGTCTTCACAAACCCCACATCTGATGGAGGGATGATCACCAAAATATATAAAGAACCCAAGAAACTAAACAGCAAAATACCATACAATCCAATTTTAAAAAATAAGCTACACATCTAAACAGAGAATTCTCAACAGAAGAATTCAAATGGCTGAAAGGCATTTACACAGTTGCTCAGTATCCCTTGTCATCAGGGAAGTTCAAATCAAAATGACTCTGAGATATCATCTTACACCTGTCAGAATGTCTAAGATCAAAATCATTGATGACAATTTATGTTGAAGAGGATGTGGAGCAATGGGAACACTCCTCCACTGCTGGTGGGAGTGCAAACTTGTACAGACACTTTGCAAATCAATATGGCAGTTTCTCAGAACATTGGGAATCAATATACCTCAAGACCCAGCAATACCACTCTTGGGAATATACCCAAGGAATACTCAATCATACTACAAGGACACTTGGTCAACTATGTTCATAGCAGCATTATTCATAATAGACAGAAACTGGAAACATCCTAGATGTCCCTCAACCATAGAATAGATCAAGAAAATGTAGTACATTTACACAATGGAGTACTACTCAGCAGTGAAAAATGATGACATCATGAAATTTGCAGGCAAATGGATGGAACTAGAAAATATCACCCTAAGTGAGGTAACCCGGACTCAGAAAGACAAACATAGTATGTACTCACTCATGAGTGGATACTAGATGTAAAGCAAAGAATAATCAGACTACAATCCACAGCTCCAGAGAAGCTAGGAAATAAGGAGGACCCTAAGAGAGATGCATGGATCACCATGAGAAGGGGAAACAGATGAGATCTCCATGAATAAACTGGGGATGGGGGGGGGAATAGAGGGGAGGAGATGGAGGATGAGAACATGAGGGATCAGGATGGTTGAGCTTGGGGAGAGACGAAGTGGGAGAGCAATGAAAGAGATATCTTGGTAGAGTGAGACATCATGGGGATAGGGAGAAATCTGGTGCTAGGGAAATTCCCAGGAATCTATAAGGAAGACTCTAGCTTAGACTACTAGCAATAGTGGAGAGGGTGCCTGAACTGGCTTAACCCAGTAATCAGATTGGTGAATACCCTAGCTGATGTCATAGAGCCTCCATCCAGTAACTGATGGAAGCAGATACAGAGATCCACAGCCGAGCACCAGACTGAGCTCTGGGGGTCAAGATCATGATGGAGAAATCTACAGAGATAACTGAATCAAGCTAGTAGGAACTCATGGACTTTAGATCAACAGCTGTGGAACCTGCATGGGACCAGACTAGGCCCTCTGCAGATGGGAGACACTTATGCAGCTTGGTCGCTTTGAAGGGTCCCTGGCAGTGTGATCAGGATCTATCCCTGATGCATGGGCTTCCTTTTTGAAGCCCATTACCTATGGTGGGATGCCTTGCTCATCCTTGATGCAGGGGTGAGGGGCTTGGTCCTGCCTCAAATGAATGTACCAGGCTTTGCTGACTCCCCATGGAAGGCCTTACCCTTTTGGAGAAGGTGATGGAAGGTGGACGAGGGGGGGGAGGGGCGGAGGGGCAGCTGGAGGGGAGCTGGAGGAGGGATGAGAGGGGAATCTGTGGATGGTATGCAAAATATTAAAATATTATAAATAAAAAGTTATTAGGACTGATTAACTAGAAAAAGGCATAATTGCTTCTTTTATGTCTATATCATCAAGTTTTTGAAGTTGAATTATTAGAACAAATTTTATACTGCATTTGATTTTCTAAGTATATTTTCCAGAATATTCTTTCTAAATATTTTGTGCTGTTTCCAGTCCATGCACAATATATCATAATAAAATTCACAAAACAGAACTTGTGCTAAATTTTAAGGTTTTTTATTTTTAAATTGTAATATAGTTATATCATTTCCCATTCCCTGTCCTCCTTCAAAATTCTCTTACATACCCTTCCTCACTCTCTTTCAAATGCCTGACACTTTTTTCATTAATTGCTCTTACATGCTATAATGTTCTGTTCCTTTGTTTTGATTTTTTTTCAAGAAAATTGTTACTAATGAAAATGTACTGTTTTCCCAGGGGTATTGCAGATAAACCAACTTATTTATAATCACATTCCGAGTGATTGTATTGACAATAGTTTCACTGTAACATATATGCTTCCATAAACATTCTGGGTACTGAGAATTTTCATATGGAAAGATGTTCAGTTATAAAATTCTGACAATAACCTACTTAAAAAGAAAGAATAACAAATTTTTCATTAATTAAAATCAATAGCATAAATAATTTACCATCATTGCAAAACATATTGAACTGCAATCACAGAGTATGAGAGTTGAAAGTTCTACCAACTGACAAAGGTAATCAAAATAAACCAGTAAGCGGTATGAACTCAATAGAATCATGAAGCTCAAAATCCCCCATTAAGGTCTTTACAAAAAAGTATATGATACAGAGGGGAATGTACAGCACCCATCAATAAGGACCACTCCCAGCCTACAGTAGAACTGTAACATGCTAAGATGTATTATGGTCATTGGAGAAGATGATACCACAAAAGACAAATTAGGGCATTTCCATCAATTATAATTTTGTATGATGTCTTCTTTTAAATTACTTTTTGTATGTTATTCATACCACAGCAGTAATTTAAAATAATGGATGTGATATGATTAAAATTTTCCCCAATAAAATATTGCTTTCTACTCTGTTGCTACTAGTAAAGTATATTAATCAGTTTTAGTAGGAATATGTGTTCCTTTGCATTGTTTTGGAGAAATGCTAGAATAGATTGTGCACATAATTCTACAATATGTATAGAATATATAAATACATTGAAAATTTTTTCAGGGTCTTCTTAGGTAATACTTTTTTGTTGCCTTAGCACAGCATAGCATGACTTTACCATGGGGCACCTGAATATGCATATAGATATGTCTGTGTACAATTACACATTATTCCCAAGTAAATGTGTGAACCAAGCTAAGAAAGTGAGTTTAGAAAACACAAAAAAAAATTCAGGCATTTTTCTACTTATTTTTTATTCAGAAAATTATTTTGGATGATGTTTTTCACAGCCATGAGGACATCTTTATTCCTAAAGCTGTAGATTATGGGGTTTAGGGTGGGTGTCAAGATGGTGTAGAATATCGCCAGGAACTTGTCCTGGCCTGGAGTGTGGTATGAGCGAGGTCTCATATATGTGAAAATGAATGGCCCATAGTACATTATGACCACAACCATGTGGAAGGAGCAGGTGGATAAGGACTTCTGCCGGGCCCCCGATGACTGCATTTGGAAGACAGTGAGGAGAATTTGCACATAAGATATGGAGATCACGGAAAATGGGATCAGCAGGAAAATAATGCCACTCACATAAACTCCTCGTTCATAGTGTGATGTGTCTACACAGGACAACTTCAACATGGCCGGGACTTCACAAAAAAAGTGATCAATGGCCCTTGAGTGACAGAAGGGAAAGTGGAGTGCAAGAGATGTGTGGACTATGGAGTTAAGGATCCCTACAAGCCAGGCACCTGCAGCCAGGAGCCCACTGGTGTTGTCCCTCATTAGCACAGGGTAACGGAGTGGGTGGCAGATGGCCACATATCTATCATAGGACATGGCTGCCAGGAGAAGGCACTCACCACCTAGCAAGGTGAGGGATAGAAATATCTGGAAGCCACAGCCTGCAAAGGAAATAATTCTGCTGCCTGACAAATAGTCAGCGATCATTTTAGGCACAATGTTGGAAATGTGCAAGATATCCATGAAGGAGAGATGGCTGAGCAGGAAGTACATTGGCGTGTGGAGTCGAGACTCACTGTGGATTAGGAGGATCATAAGGGCATTTTCTGTTATAGTCATAATAAAAATGAAAAATATAAATGAGAAAAGCACCTGACTTGTTTGTGAAGAAGAGAACAGTCCCAAAAGGATGAAGTCACTGCTAAAAGTGTGGTTCTCATGTCCCATCTTGTCTTCTCCTACTTTACCTGCAAAGAGATGGTTATTTAATGAGAAAAAAATACTAAAACCTTATGCTCACTTATATATGTTTACATAATAAAATGAGTTGATATACAATTTGTATTTACCATTAAGTGCCTCATAGAGGGTCTCAGAGTGGGTATATAAGGCAAAGTATATGTTTATTTGTTCTAACTAATTATAATATTTAGTGTGGAATAGACCTTTTATATTATAGATCTCATATGCAATTACTTGAGTCCAGTCATTACTCAATTATACCTTTTTTATCTGCACACCACATGTAAGCTCCACTGGGGATTCCTGTGGGTGGGGTTCTCTACTGGAGCTCTCCCTAGAACCTGGACACTGTAAAACCATTAATTAATTAACTGAGACCCAGACTGTCCTGCTCTTTTGCATTCTGCTCCATCCTAACATCTTAGATAAAAATAGTGGTCTCCAGTTATGAAAGAAAAGGAACAAAGAATTACATCAGCATGAATTGTGTCGGTGATTTTGTGCTGGGTTTAGCACAATGAAGGAAATTGTCCGTGATTAGTTTTCCAATCAATTCAATACTTCTTTCAAATGGCTCTGTGATTAGACATCAGTGTGTGTGTGTGTGTGTGTGTGTGTGTGTGTGTGTGTGTGTGTGTGTGTGTGTCTGTGTGTGTGTGTGTATGAGAGAGAGAGAGTGAAAGAGAGAGAAAAAAACAGAATTAGAGACAAGATTCTCTATATCTATAAAGTTCTTTTTCATGAAATGTTATTTAAGATATTTAACTATGTAGTCCACTATTAACACAGAGAGCTTGTGCAGGTGGTTTAGCTGATTTCTACATGGGAAGCCACATATATGATTCATTGTCCTTACACACTTGGTGATTCAGGCTGTACATAGCTCATTACTGAGCAAAGTGCTACTAAACTCACTTTGAGGAAAAAGGTAGACAGTGGGAAACCTTTGGAGACTATGAATGAAGATCACAAGATGTAATGCAGCCAAGATAACCTAAACAACATTATCACTCCCTGTATAGATAGGGGAGTTGTGAGATCCCTAGAAGAGAAAGAATTCTATATGTTGGGTGGGAATATCTGAACAGCATCTCACTAAAATATACTCATGAATGGATACTTGGGAAAGCAAAATGGCACTCCTGAGGCAGCCAATGAACTGTTCACAAATTCATTTTGCAACAACTGTTTGTGTGTATGAGTGTGTGTCCTTTTAACACTCTAGTAGCTAGAGTCTAGCTACATGCAATCACTGCAGAGTTATCATGTATCTGCAGTTTTTATTGTCAGCCAGATTTAATGGAATCATACATCTCAAGGTGTCATCAAATTCGTAATGGCAGATACTGAGTTATTACACTAAATCCCCTCCAATAGCCTCCTCCCAACAATGTCATAAATGGGCATTTATAACTCCAGAGCTCATGGACATAATGGTGCCCTTTTGTGCAGTTGGAAAAGCTCCAAAATCTCTTTACTTCTGTCTTCTAATATACACCTATACACAAATCACACTTCTACAAGCTCTGCCTCTATAAACAGTGTTCATGTAGTATGTCTTCTCAGATCCTATGACCTGTGTGTAGAAATGATGGTTCTAAAGATGCATTCTTCCCCTTTCTTTCACTTGAACAAGATTTATGTATATTCAGCACCACATATATAATCCTGTGCTTCTCATTCTTCCTGAACCCAGTAGAACGTGACTAATTGACACTGTTCTCCAGTTATAGTCCAGGAGGGTGGGAACTAAAATAGCCTACCTTTCTCACTCCCCTTATATTAAAATTCAGCACTTTATTATGAACAGATTCAAATGGAAGGATTACAGGAGCAGAAAGCTGAGTCCATTCACCATACAATGAGTACATTCTCAATCACAGGACCTGCTCCAGGTTGCCAGCAGCAGCACCTATTTCCTTTGGAAAAAAATAAAAAATCTTGTCTTATATTAATTACTTGCCTGTCTCACTGATGACCAAATCTATTTCTATTGTATTATATAACTTCAAGTTACAGTATCTTTAAAGTATTTCTTCATACAGTAAGCTTGGCTGAAAGGAAAGAAGAAAAAGATTCTGAGAACCTAGAGAAATGACTTTATAGTTTCTTGGCTCCATTATCTACTCTGCCACAAGAACAAAGGCTGCAGCAAGTGTGGTTTTGTTGCTATTTTCAATATGGGTAACGTACAAAATAGATCATATACTTGGATTATTAGCAAATTCCAGCAAGTTTGAGTGACATAAAGTCAGGCTAGAGTGAGCAGAGGTAAGGAAATAGGTTTTTCTGCATGTATTTCACACATGGAAGGATATTACACAAGTCTTGTGACTAAGAGCCTGGGAAGTATGAAGATCTTAGTGAGATCTGTGCTTACATGGGAGAACATATAAGGACTAGATCTAGAGAGTCTGCATATAAGAAGAGCCCTAGTTCCTACCTTCCCAAGCACTGTGCCTTGAGCACTCTCCTGCAGAGAAAGCTTTACTGAAAGGTATCAAGCTAAGTTTCTTACTCTTCAAACTTATCATAATATACCTTCAATGCAACCTACATTTTACGATTTTTTTTAATACAAGAGATTAAAATCCCCTTGACAGCACATTAGAATGATGTTATTTCAGATGGAGAAGGTGAAGGGTCCATGGGGTTTGATGTACAGCTGCCAGGAGATAGGTCTGGCTGTCATCACTCTAAACTCTAAATGGTAAGTACTCCCCTGAAGTAGCAGTGGCAGAAATGTGGCCACACAGTCTGTGAACTCACTAGTCTCCAAAGGTCAGATGGGTAGTAAGGAGTATGGACAAAGAAAAGAACTCAAAGTCAAGGGCAGCATCAAAGTAATATCATCATATGGACATCAGAGTTTTTCAAAGATGCAGATGAGCTATTGAGTTTCACCATGACAACCAAGATCTTCACTGTGACTGTCCATCAAGAATCTGTAAATAATTGCTTTTAAGTGTAGCAGTCTTTGACTGGAATAATAACACTTTCATTAACCTTTGCCTTTCTAGTTCTGTTTACTTCTCACTGTTTGTAAGTTAACATAGTAAGATTGTATCTCATTTTTGTAGAGTTAAAGCAAATATGTTTAAAGTCCACATGTGCATATTTCTTCTAAGTTACCTCAAATAATTTTATTGGAGTTTGCATTTGTCTAAATAAAATAATTGCATTTAATCAACTTTAGAAAATCCAGATGATCTATGAAAATATTATAAATTAGTTTTAAAATAGGTATAGTATACTTTATATATATATAGTTATGACAGAAGAGTATACATTTGTGCACAGAATTAATAGTAATAAAATATTAATAAGAAAAATCACAAAATTAGATTCAAAAGATCTGGTAGAAAAACAGCTACCAGCACTGATTGTAATTGCTTCCTCCTCTGAACACTTGCATTGGTGCGTAAACTTGGGGAGTCTTTGGCCTGATGTCATTCTAGTCTATTGTATTCAGACCATGCAATTTTCTTTTTGCATAACATAGAAATTAAAGATATTGTGTTATACAATGAATTTAATGCCTGTGGATTCTTCAGATGTTTAGTACTAAAAGTCAACACTTACTTCTTCTTTCGAGTATGCAAATGTGTTTTGTTACATCCCATAATTTAAAAAACAGTCATGAAGTCTCTGATCTTTATTTACTATTTATGGTAAGTTATTTGCATTTACACAATTTAATATATTTTCTGTATTCCCATAATTTTGTTACTTACCCAGAAACTGTTTACCCTAATAATGCCAAAGGTTTCAAGGTTTTCCTCTAACCAATTATACATTTGAAATCTCTCTTACCACAGAGATTCATGCTTTCTGCAGAGATGACTCTGTTCCATTCAGAAGCAGCCAACTTCCCCAGGGCATGATACTCAGGCTGTAGGTGAGATGTTTACAAGTGTTCATTACTGCTACAGTCCAGGACTAGGGCTTAACACAGTGTATTCCAGCACATGGTGGAATACACCCACACAGTTCTGCAGGACCCAGCCCTCCCTCCTGTCTTCACTACTCATCACATCAGACCATACCTGATTTACTCCTCACAGCATACTTTATCCTGTAGGTTAGGCAGTATAAGGAGCATCCTCACTCAGGATACTGAGCACTTACTTTTTTTTTATTAACAATACCTCTATATAAATGATGGAAGATACCTCAGTTCCAGAAACCCCTTCAGATTAGCTTGAACTGAACAATGCTTGCTGGATGCAAGGTGCAAAAATTTGGAAGACATCTACTCTCCTTGAAGTTCTTGGCGTGTAGCTTCTGGGATAGAAAGAAGCTGTCTTTTGATTGGGGAGCATTGGGAATTGGATGCCCTGAGAGTAGGCTGGCCATGCAGAAGTGGCTTATGTGGGGAAAATGGGTACACTGTAGCATTCCCTATGGTAAAACAGAGGCATCTGGGCATCATGTCATCACAAAATAAATTAAATATATAAATGAATGTAGAATTCTGGTAATATCATTGATTTACTCACAATAGCTATGACCAACCTTTGTTCAGCATGTTAGAATTTCAAGCAAGATTTTAAACAACTCTTGTTTATTAAAGTCTTACAGGATTTGTTGTTGTTATGAGTAAGGTAGCCCAAGATTACCTAGAACACACTTTTTCCAACTGACATGCCATCTAGATAAATAATTAACTGAGAAACAAAATAATTAAATGCAAACTACACTGAATGGACCTAAGTGATGAATAAAGCTTATTCCATCCAAACACCAAAGAATAGACATTACATTTAGCAGCCTGTTGAAATTTCTCTAAAATATAAGAACATATGCACACAAAAAAAGTCACAATAACTACAAAAAATTTAAATAACTCCTTGTCCATAATGCAACAAAACTGGAAATCAACAGCAAAAGAATCTTTATGAATTAGACAGACTGATGGAGTCTAAAGAAGACACCACTGATAAATGAATCGAAGAAATCAAAATGGAAATCCTAAAAACAAATGC